ACAGTACACCATTTTCGGCCTAATCTAGCTCTTTTAAAGGTAAATAACGTGTGGGGTCAAGTACTTACTAGAGCGATATAGACAAGTGCACGCATATATCATTCTATCATCAGCATAGATATTCACAAATGATCGAAACTATACGGAGAATCGACCATTTATCCAGTTTCTTTATACGAATTCCACTTGAGATCTAGGCGCTCAAGTTACGTGATCTGCCCTCAGGAAGGCCATGTTATTCGTTCATTGTGATTGGTGATAGTTCTTTGTTTGATCGGGGATTATGAAATGTCATTAGTCTAGTTATCGAGGCATTGAATATGAACAGCCAGTTTTCTCCTACTGAGCTGTTAGAACTCGGTCAGAGGAGAGATCATTTGTCAAGCTCTTGTCATCTAGATTTTTGGAGGTGCACCCATATACCATTATATCATTTGCATAGATATTTACAAAAGATCTATGTATTTAGGCAGATGATTAATATAAAACTAAAAGAGGGTAGGACCGAGAAGAGAGTCTGCATTGATCTCCTGGGCTTCAGATGTCTGGTCATTAATAACGCCCTTCATAGATCTACCTGTTAGGAAGGACCTGATAACTGAGAAAGCTCTTTCAGAAATTTCATAGCTGGAGAGTTTGTGTAGCAACCACCGTATGCTACACCTTACCAAATACCTTCAATATATGTAAAGTGATCATCCTTGTTCTTCTTTGATTCTGTGCGTAATGACAGTCAGCAGTAGACCTCGCAAAAGCAAAATCCATACTGTTTGTCGCTCAGTTGATTGTCCCTGTTAAGTTGGTCAACAACCTTGTTGATGATAGCCTCGAATAATTTGCTGCTGACAGACCGATGGGTCAGTATTACAATGGGGATGAATGCTCACTTGCATTCTTGAAACCAGGGTATACAGCTGACACCCTCCCATAGATTGAGAAGGATTTCTTCTTCAGGCAGCAGTTAAATATCAGAGAATAATTATGGGCTAATGTTTTTAACAGCAACTACCAGGTAGAGGGTGGACCTAATGTGGAATTAGAGGTAAAATTCATTGCAAATGATTTTGCCTTATCAAACAAAGATGATGTATCCATGATGTAATATGTAAAACAATAGTGTAGCAGTGGCAATCATGAGGCACACACAGGATTTAACTGTTAAAATGTAGAATGACAGTTGTGTCTAAACAGATGGGGATACTCTATCTCTGAAATGGCAACTGCTCTAGTTTTCTGTCTATATTTCTGACATGAAGTATTTTAACTATTTACAGTATTTAGATTGTTCAGACTGTTGCCCCATCTTTATCAACATATTCATGATATTTTGGCCATTGTACCCAAGGACACAGTGAATAAAAATTTTGGTTGAAGTAATCCAAAAAGTGACTTAACCCAAAGAGTTGTGAGTTCAATATCTGACCACAGCAGGAGAAAGCTTGGAGAGTTGAGTTACTAAAGGAAATTAACTGAAACTGAGATATCAAAAAAGGCATGGCATGTGGAATTAGAACCATCTACCTCCATGTACTAAATAAAGAGTTCAGTTCAAAATTCTAATGTATATCAACTGATGAAGGCCAGAGCATACAACTGCTAAAACGCTGTGAATATGGCGATAAAGATGAGGACCAGTTGTTTTTAAGACTTGGGAAGGATTTCCCCTTCAGGGAACAGTTAAACAATTTTGCTAATACCGGAGATAACATTGGGCTAATGTTTTTAAAAACAACCACCAGGATACTTTGATAAGTATGTGGAAAAAAGGTTGTAAGGAGGAAAATAGTTCATCACCCACAAGACCATGTAAATGCTTTTGATCTCTATCAAAACTGGAAAGTGATTACTCTAACAACCGAGATATGGCAACAGTATTTTATTTTTGGTTTGATCTTGTAAAGGTAGAACATCACAAGCAGAGTCAGGTACTTATTGGAGTGACACAAGGAACCGGTCATTTTCCTAGAATCTTTAGAGATTGATTGTATGAACGGATGTCCTCGCGTGGAGTCATTATTGCATTGAGAGACTATTAAGTCTTAAACTCTCACCTAAACTCGTATATACCATCCATTGAAAGTGATTACTGGACATCTCTAACAGCCGAGATATGGCAACAGTATTTTATTTTTGGTTTGATCTGGCTCTTTGAAAGGTAGAGCATAGCAAGCAGAGCCAGGTACTTCTTGGTGCCATTTTTGCCAGCATCTTTAACAATGGATCGTAGGTACGAATTCCACTTGAGGTCTAGAATGAGCTTAAGTCCCAAGAGGCGCTCAATGTTGAAAGAGATTACCTTCTTTGGTCACGTGTCTTCTCTTCACCAAATTCTCTCAAAATCCTCCATTGTCCATATTAGAGCGTCACTCTGACTAGTCGTTAAAGATCACATGAAGAATTACATATTAATTACGAAAGTGGAAGTAAAGTTAACCCAATGCCAGTATTTCATTTGTTATTTGAACTGTCGCGGAAGGTAAAAAAAAATGCGCTGACAGCAATGATCAACACTGCAGTGAAAATTAATGTAAAAAAAACTTGATCTTGAGATATCTGACTGATCTCTGGTTGATATTAAAAATGGGATACAAATGTAATGAGGATGGTTCATCTCTATGTAAGGTTTTATCTGCAAAGGTCAATGAAATGTGGGAGGCTTCTGGCTTTTTTCAGCTGTGGGGAAAAGGGTTGCTGGGAGGAAAATAGTTCATCGCCCACAAGTCCACGTAGATGCTTTTGATCTCTATCAAAACTGGAAAGTGATTACTGGACATCTCTAACAACCCAGATATGGCAACAGTATTTTATTTTTGGTTTGATCTTGTAAAGGTTGAGCATAGCAAGCAGAATCAGGTACTTCTTGGAGTGACACAAGGAACCGAACATTTTCCCATCTTTAATGATGGATTGTATATATGAGTTCCACTTCAAGTCTGGAATGAGCTTAAGTCACAATAAGTCTTCAAGGCAAGGATCATCCTTGAGAGAACAAGCGTTCATTGTAATAGTCAAATATCCAGGGACTACTATGTGATGATAAAAGATTACTAGTTTAGTTTTGAAGTATTGAACGTAAACAGACAGTTATTCCACCATTGAGCTGTTAGAACTCGGTCAGAGGAGAGATCATTTGCCAAGTCCTGGTCATCTAGATTTTTGGAGTTGCACACATTGTTGTGTCATCAGCTCCCAACTGATTTGAATCTGGATACCTGGGAGATCTCTTGACATTTCCTTTAATTAGGCTAATAAATCTGTCGATTGGTTTAAAACGTTTATACAATCAACCAAGAAAACGAAAGAAAAAAAAAAATGACACTTGTACGAGGTCTGATCAAAAATAGTACGCAGGGTGAAATCTCTGGACGTTGAACTCTGTTACACCTACACAAAAGATTCTAACGTTACCTTTCGTTATTTTTAGCAGTGCTTTGAAGGAACGTGTATAGAGTGTGGTCGTCTTACCACACAACAGGTTCCATCAGTGACCATGGTTTGTGCAGCACTTCTTGGCCAAGCACAGCATTCTCCAAGTCAGACAACCATCATATTCATATTTCGCCTGTTGGGACTGTTCTGTTCTTTCCAAAAATCAAGTTCCACTTGAAACGAACAAGATTTCAAGACGTCGATGCAATCCAAGTGAATGCGACGAGGCAGTTGATCGCTATCCCAAAAAAAGGAGATCCAGGAATGTTTTCATCAATGAAAATGACGCTGGATGAAGTGTGTGGCTTCAGTAGGGAACTACTTCGAAGGAGATTAAATGCTGAATTGATATATGTTGTAGTTTTCTTTTTATAGCACCACTCCTGATACTTTTTGACAAGACTTCGTACGATTGTATAATGCCCGTATTCACGTAAAAAAAGCAATCCAAAATATTTCTAATATTGATTTCCAAAATACGTATTTTGCTTTTACTTCGACGCAATTGGCGTAGTCATTCCAAATGAATGCTAATCTATTTATCCTTCCGTCAGTCTATTAGGGTTTGTTCGTATCTTTTTCTGAATTCACGTTTAGTTCAAGAATTAATAAATTATCTCGCAAGTCATTGAGCGTGAATTCATTCCTCAGTAAGGGACAAACGGAAGTGAATGTGTTTAGCGTTCCTTGGTGATTTTGTGATAAGTGCGATTTGGTTTATTTTGGTTTATTTTATCAATCACGATGGGTTATATAATGCCGACAAGATATTGAAGATAGATTCGTAAAAATGACATATTCTTTGTAAGAAAGTTTGTATATCAGGTTTCGCTGACGTATTTTTGTAAAGAGGGTTTTTGTCGAGAGTCAAATGTATTGCTGGTAATAAAAAATGTATTGCAAGTAATTTTAAAAAAATGTATTGCTGTTATTTTTACTATAAAAATCTATTTTTATGCTTTCAGTTTGGGAGTTAACTATTTGCCCATAGCTGGGACCCTAACATGTGTCACCACCCTGAGTTAGAGTGGACCTGAGAACAGCACCAATTAAGAGGTGGTCTCACGCTCTTCAATACCTCCTGAACAGCAGCCTTGCTGCCAGATGTAGTTTACCATCATATCCAGGACGGACAAGTGTTGTCTGCTGAAGAAACAGAAGACAAATGAAAGAAAATGATTTTTTATACCAAAAAATATGTGGGGTTACAGTAAAAGAAGAAACAAAAACCTTATTCTTGAGACAAAATTTAAAGATGAGCACCATCAAAACAAATTACAGATCTGTATTTAAATCATTAAGAAATAGAAAATTTTCCTTTTGGATCAAAAGATCCGATTGGTTTTCTACGGCTTATCAACCTTTTGAAGATTACTTAAAGCCAGAAAATATTGTAATAATGATTTAATGATACAAGTTCTACTAATTAACCCATAACTGGAGGCGAAATCATATCTTTCCCAAGACTATTCGTACGTAAGCGAATATAACGAGCTCAACGTGAATTCGAACTCGGCTCTCCGATTTTAAATTCCGAGCCATTATTCATTCCACCAGGCGCACAACAAAATTTACAGCACCTGATATTCCCATGCAGTCACCCATTTAGGTACCGATCAGGCTCGACGTTGCTTAACTTCGGTGATCGTACGGGTACTCTTGTTTCAACATGATGTGGCCGTAAGCCCTTGTCATGATCCTAACAATAATAAATGATGATAAAGTTATTTAATTTTGGGTAGGTTTCGGGACGATGGTGTAAAAATTTAGTCTGGGTCGCTGCTCACGAGTTACTGGGTGCATCTTCAGTCAGAGATAGAAGTCAATGACAATGAATGAAAATACTGTGAAGGACGGACATAATTCTTTCTTCGACAGTCTTTCTATATATAAGCTAATGTCACTTCCTTCCGAACAAATGTCTATATACGTCACAGTCCGCACTCACTGTTAGATCGATCTAGAGAATTGATCGTTACATCCAGAAAGGACCCCGTCTTTTTATTCATCTCTCCTCAGGCTGAAGGAATCTGCAACGCACAAACCTAACGTCTATCCTTACAGTTAAGATCTTATTGCAACCTTTCACAGGCTATGGCATTAAATTACTGGGTTTTTTTTTTGTTGTTTTTTTACAGTTTTGTTTCATTTTTGTTACATATCTGTCTCCCGAGAAAATCACCGGCAAACCACAGCCCGCTAGAATGACCAGAGTGATTCTTTGATAATCAAATCCTACTGTATCTTCTTCTATATGCGTTACCCTTTGGCGATCATGGCTCTCCACAATTTCCTGTCCTTTATAGTTCTTAATAATGTTTTCTTTTTATCTCTCCTAAAGCTTGTTCCGACATCCAGGTAGGTAGGCTGTGCATTATTTGCCTTTGTCCTTCTTGCCTTCAATCAGTCTTGGGGGTATCAAAATTTCCAATCCCTCTTTTCTCATTATATGCACCACAATATTCAACAGTCCATTCCTGATGTTGAGTATAAGTGCCCATTTTCTCTAAAACGTCATCGTTGCTCACATGCTCGGTCCATGGCATTCTCAGCATCCTTCTGTAGAACCACATACTGCTGCTTCAAGTCTCTTCTTTATCTATAAGGAAGTTATTAAGCATTCACTGCCATATAGGAATACTGATATTACATCGCAGTTAATACATTTTTTTCTTTATTTCTAACGAAATTTTTCTATTTCTTAATACTTGGCTTAGGTTTTCGAAGGCATCTTTCGCTATCTCAATGCGCCTTCGAATTTCAGTGTCGCACTTTCCGTTTTCTGTCAAAACCCTTAATCAAATATTTAAATTGTTGCATTCTTTGATTCCAGTATCTCCAATTTGTAATTTTCACGTTGGGCTGTCGCTTTTGGTGACAACAATGTAAAAGGTGCAGATTTATGAAAACCAAAAACGCTCAAGAGACATTGAACCATTAAAGTTAAAAATTCTCATCGCAAATCAGAAAAAAAATGTCCCCAACCAAAAAAAAAAAACAAATAGATGAATAAATGAAACATCTTAAACACATAACTTTTGCTGATCTTCAAATAAAACAAAGAGCTGCTGCTCAAATATAAAACACACGCACGCAAATATATATATATATATATATATATATATATATATATATATATATATATATATATATATATATATATATTGAACAATAAAAAAAAAATATTAAAAAAATTAAAATCTTCAGACACACTGGGTTGTAGATTAATATTCTTTCGTTTTTTTTTATTATTATTATTCCATTTAGATTCCTCGACTAGTTTCGACCGAAATGGCCATCATCGGGAGAAGAAATATTTCTGCTTGCTGGTAGCAGTAAACTACAGAAATGAATGTCTTGCTGGAGAAAATGAACTTTTGTCTGTAGTTTTCATTTGTTTTGTTTTTTATTTTTTTATCTTTTTAACATGAATCTTTTAACATTCCTTGGTTGGTCAAACAGTCTCTTTTAAGTTGTTATTTGAGATAAGAGCTGAATGGATCTATGCTTCTCTGAACTCCCGTGGTCATTTTGAAAGTTTTATTGGTCCTGGAGAGGGGATGTGTCTCTGTTTAGTGTTTGTGTATGTGTATGTGTGTTATTTGGTTCTTAGGGAGTGAGTGAGTATGATATGTGTATTGCTGTGGGTGTGTGTTATTTGGCTCATTAGGGAGTGAGTGAGTATGATGTGTGTAAGTGTGTATATTCGTGTGGGTGTGTGTATAAGTGTGAGGCCTCCACACCTCTGTATATATATATATATATATATATATATATATATATATATATATATATATATATATACGTTTCGTGAACAGAAATGATCGATCAAGAAAAATCGTCGAAGATCTTATAAACTGCAATTCGGATTTATGATAATTACTGATTATTAGTGAAAGTAGTTGTTCGCTGACCGAGCTCTGATAAAATTACAACTTAATTTGTTAATTTTTAATGCTGTTAACGGCCCTGATGCTTCGTCTCTACTTAACAAAAAAAGAAAAGAGAGATTGGCGCAATATATTCTATGTGACGATGTGACTTAGTAAATATCTCGACGTAGAGATGACCTCGATATGCAGTCAGCTTAGTTCGCACACACAGACACAGCAGCTGCGCAATCTCCACCCCTGCTTGCCACCCGATGGAAAATAGAGAGCGAGTCGAGCAACAACCTGCCACCCGCGTGTGCCATTTATCTGTGTGCAGTAAATTTTCATTCACAAAACAAAACTCGTACACGCTGTTCCCGCTTACGCGCACTCACCTGCACGTGGCATTTATGCCATTCATAAATATTTCTACTACTACGTTTAAATCAAAGAAACGTGTTTCTTGAACTATTACATAGAATGGGTTATAATAATAATAATAATAATAATAATAATGATGATAATAATAATGATGATAATAATAATAATAATAATAATGATAATTATAAAATGATAATTAATAATGATAATTATAATAATAATTACAATAATAGTAATGATAATAATGATAATAATAATTATCATGATAATAATGGTAATAATATTAATAATAATTAGTAGTAGTAGCAGAAGTAGAACAGGAAACGTCTTTACACTGTGTAAAAAAAGATTTACACTTTTCATATTTTATTTCTTTTTCTTTTCATATCAAGCCAAAAATGTTTCCTTAAATGCCATTCATTTTCCTATTTCAAATTTGAAATTTAAATGTATTTTTCATATTTTTAAGGGTTGCATTGATTGCCATTTTGCTATAAAATTGTACCTTTTGCACATTTTATTATAAAAATGTACTGTTGATTTTTGTTTGGGGTTCACTATTTGCCTATAGTTGGGGCCCTAACAAGTGCTACCACTCCAGGCCAGGGTGAACTTGTGAACAACAGCAGTTAAGAGGTAGTTCTACGTTCCTCAAAAGTTCCAATCAGAGGCCTTGCTGCCGGATGTAGTTTATCGTAATACCCAGAACAATTCACGCCTCGGTAATTGATACAAAAAGTGATGATTAGAATTTTAATAAAACCTGAACATATGAAAGTGAATTTATACATTTTCCTTGTTCTTGAGAGAGAAAAAAAACACATACTATTTATTAGATTTTTGAAATGGTTGTCGAAACATTAAAAAATTATCAATCGATTCGAACTGTCCCATTCAGTGATTACAATTTGCTCATTCACCACAAAACCTCATTCCTCACCATTAAATATTACAACAGGACAAACTCACAAGGAATCTAAAAAAAAAAACCATGACATGAAATAAATATTATGCAATATAGGCGAGCAATTCAACTAGAAAAATTGAAAATAAATACAATGTATCTAAATACAAATTCAGGATATGTCATAATAGATCATTATATCTTAAATAAATCAACAATGCTTTGCGGCAATTTTTAACATCAAATTGGGATTCTTGTTAAAAATTTGAATTTTTACTCATTCAACAATATTGAAAAAACAGTGAAATTAGTGTTTTTTTACTTGCATTATATGGTTTCGGCTGCTGTACACCTCAAAGACACATGGCCCAGTGGATAAAGACGTTGGTTAGATCCAGAAACTAGCTTCTAGTGATATAATAGCTGTCTATATCTCTGAGATGAGGTATTATGATTACTTACATTATTTACATTATTCGGACTGTTATCCTCATCTTCATTACCATATTCACAAGGACACATGGCCCAGTGGATAAAGACGATGGTTAGATCCATTGACTAGCTTCTAGTGATATAATGGCTGTCTATAGCTCTGAGATAAGGTATTATGATTACTTACATTATTTACATTATTCGGACTGTTATCCTCATCTTCATTGCCATATTCACAGGACACATGGCCCAGTGGATAAAGACGTTGGTTATATGTAAAATAATCATAATACCTCATCCAATGGCAATGAAGATGAAGATAACGGTCCGAATAATGTAAATAATGTAAATAATCATAATACCTCATCTCAGAGATATAAACAGCCATTATATCACTAGAAGCTAGTCACTGGATCTAACCAACGTCTTTATCCACTGGGTCATGTGTCCCTGCGAATATGGCAATGAAGATGAAGATAGCAGTCCGAATAATGTAAATAATCCAAGTAATCATAATACCACATCTCAGAGATATAGACAGTGTTTCTTTTGGTTTTTTTTTTTTTTGTTCGAGACTTCAACTCCAGAAAGTTTTGATTTGTTTTGTGTCGTCACAGTACACCGATGTTAGTGCATCGAAGGTATTAACGAAAAGACAATTTCTTTCTCTTACTCGTCTTATTAACGAAGAGGGATAGGTGTGGCAATTTAGATTCTAGGATGAAGAAGGAGAAAGAACTTCAAGGGAACGCATGTTGCACGTTGGCTTAGCTTCCCTCCGCGTGTGGTCTTAGCTTGTCTCTTGAACCTGGGTGTGAGAAGCGTATCGACGCTGCAAAATTCGTGCTACCCTCTGTTGAGTTACACCGTTCTGGACTTATACCCAAAAGCCAAACAAAATGTAATCCGTCCCTGTCAGAATATCACACCCACGTTGTATCTTGAGCAATCGCTGATCATCCTGGCCCTGGTGTTCGCATTCTGTAAAAAAACTATCTAAGGACATATGGGCGGTGTAATGGAAAGCGACTGGTAATTAAAGAGCCGATTTCGAATTATAGTCTGGTTCGTTGCAATCACACGCATCAGTCAGTT